ATCAAACCGAGTGGAGACGTTTTACATTGGCGGAAAAGACAACTGCCCGTGTGGAGGCCACAAGTAAATTGCATCAATTGAGACTGAATAAGAGGTGAAGGTGGAAAAGTGTGGGAGGTGGAGTTGAGAGGAAGGATGAGGGGGTCAGGAGTGATTGAGGGTGGCCTGGATCACGATAGGAAATACGTGGTTGTAGATATGATGAGTGGTGATGTGATTGTGCGTTCTTCATCCATCATTGAGAAAAGGCGCAGAACCGAAGTGTGTGGGGAGTCGAGTGATGAAGATGTGCAAGTGAGAAAAAGAAGGCACAGTAACCGAGACTTTGATACTGTCATGACACTTCACTCACAGGGCCATGTGAACTCTGTGGTGGAATCGACTGAGCAAATGTAATCAAGTAGTTGTGGTAAATAAGGGTGTGACCACACGGAGATGGTTTACGTGTGACGAACAAAGAATTGGATGAGTCTATTGATCTAAGACAAAGTTGGACGTAGTTGGATGGAACCAGTGTGACTAAATCGTGTCAATCATGAAATAAGTGAGAACAGGTGTTGAAGTGATTTATAAGTCAATGACCCCAATCAACGTTTCGAATACTGAGTGGAAATAGAACTGCGTACACTGGAAGCTCACATGATACCATGGTCTTACAGGTCGCAGACACGGAGACTGGTTGTCTGTGGTTGGAGTTCTCAACTGGCAAAGACCTCTACACTCTCAGGTGTTCTCTCATTTGGAATGGGTACTGAATGGAGTTGTTCCCTGTTTCAACAGAGCCACCAGTGCCCATGTCTAACAAAGTGCTGATTAGCAGCCTGATATCTGACTTCGGACACCACCAATTCTAACTTCTACTACTCTTCGTAACTGTCAATTTTTGGAAGGAAAGAATGTTGGGCAACCAGGTGGTTAATTAGTGTCGGTCCTTGTGAATAGAGTTGAGACCATAGCAGATGGGATGATGTGTAGGTGCTGGTGGTTGCAGTGAGTGCAACGGATGATGTGTGGATTTCACATAGTCTGTCAATAGGTAAGAGAGTGAAGTCAATCTCGTGTCAAATGGAGTGAAGTTAGTGAAAAGAACAGGCCAAACCGAAACAGTGGGTTGAAATTGTCGAGATTGAAGTCAATTGAGCAGTGGACTTATGGATAAATTGGGGAGCCTTCAGTTTCGATCCGAATGATGGAGTTTGCACAATCCACACTGAGAAATATTCACAATTTGTTATAATGCAACTTATCATTTGAAGAAAAATGTTACAAATTGAATGACTGCATTTATCGCCCCTCCTCACTCCACTTCTTTGCTTTCAGTATGAGACTTCATCTCACAAGGAAATGTGAAGGACTCCGCGTGGGCACTTACTGTCGAACATGTTTTGTGAGGTTTAATCAAGGTTATTGTGACTCCAAAGGTGACCCTGTTTGCTATCCAGGTATGACAAACGCCCTTGGTGCAAATGTTTGGATTTGTAACTTTGTGTAATATTGAGGTGTACTTACCAGATAGTTTTTTCTTAATAATTGGAGCAGAATGTCGGATTATTGTTCATATTCATTAAATGGAAGGTCAAATCAACAATACGATTTGGATAGGGGAAGGGTCACATTCTTTCTAACATCTACTTAGGTGAATGAGGTGGATTGATGAATTGAGATGTTTCGAGCACGATTAAAAACGTCTTGTTTTCCAATTGGATGCCCTTGATGTCATTGTGATTTGAGCATCCGTAGTGTTCCTTTCAATTGAAGCATAGCTTTGATATCACCTGGATCACATTTGCACTGAATACCGGTTTCCATTGGGAAGTTTGGCTCCTCAGTTGCAGAATAGTTTGCATGAATATGGAATTGGTGAAAGATAAGATTTTAGAGATACGTGAGTTAAAGCGTATGGTTGGTGGCATTGACTGCAAGTTGGAAGTCGCACCACTCTCTGTTGTCAAAGCCCTACTTTGCACCAAATACATTTTGTCCCCTACTGTGTTGCCACAACATTTCAGGTTACTACGGTGACGAGTGCCAATGGGAGAGAGAGTGTTACAATGTGACTTGTGCTTCATTCGCGTCATGTGGTAGAGTGGACAAACACTATGCCTGTGTGTGCGACGGTGTTTCAGGTAAATCGCATGCACTGCATTGAATGAATAAGTTGAATTCTGATTCAGATACTCAAGATATCTATTGCCTCTCCTCCAATAAGGTAAAAGGTGTGAAGAAGGCTTCGATCCTTGTGCAGAGCATGTCTGTTTGCATGGGGGAACGTGCGTGCCCATTGGCGAACACATGAATTTCGCGAAATGTGTGAATTGTCGTGGGAGAAGAGGTGGACTTCACTGTGAGGAAAAGTTGAATGCTTGCGAATATGAAGAATCTCAACTGGGACATCCGCCTTGTACGAATGGGGGCCACTGTGTTGTCAGCCCATTTAACGAGACACAATTTACTTGCCTNTCGAAGCTGAATGATGACAACGACGAGTATGAATACGATTCAATTTTTGAGCAGTTGAAGTGTTCTTCTACAAAAGAAGTCCCGGAAATTGCAGAGGAAGAGGATAACTATGAACCTATTAATTCTACCTATGATGGTGCACTGAAATCCGGTGAGGCCATATGTGCAGTTAGTAATGAATATGATGAGGATGCTGAGGATGATGGTCACTTGGATATGACCTTGAAACGACCACTGCCATCAGCTGCTCCACCTCCAGCGCCACCGCCAGATGGAGATGACTATGAATTCCTATGCGAAAACGTGATAGTATAAAATCGAGATTGCTAATTCAAACCTTAAATCATGGTTTGTTCAATTATCTTCATTAATTTCACGACATGACTGTAAACTTTCTAATGGTATATTTAGCGTTTCAATTATATGTCCACTGTGTTTTGTGTGTCGTGGGCGAGGGCGAGGGGGGGGGGAGGGGGTTGAGGGGGGTTAAACGACTTCTGAACTTATGATTGGACGCGACTTTCTCTACTGATAGAAATACATTTGAGTATGCAAATATTTGCTCAAAATAAGCACAGACAGTAAAATGTGTTTGTTGGAGAAAAGGTAGAAGAAAAATTGTTTAGAGTAAGTCGGGTGTCGTGGTGCTCTGCTCACCAATGTGAAACAATCGTGTAATTTGTCAATTGATATCATATATATATCGCCCAAAGCTTACACAATACGTGGTTAAACAAACAGAAAATGCAAGTTAATTGACTGGTATTGTAATGCAGGTTAAAAAAATCAAAAGGGAGATGAATTATGGGATTATGGGGAATGTTCAGAAGAGGTGTATTGGAAACGGCTGTGAGACAATTACATTCTATATTGTAAGTGGATAAATTATGCATTGGGTGAACAACGTTAGAGGTGCATCCATTCATTAAGTCATTGGCAATTTGAATAGATCGCTGTGTTAGAACAGATTTTTGACAAAGGCATCGGTAATCACCAAAGTAGGCTACAACTGGAGAGTTGGAAGTTGACGAAACTATCAGCTCAGCCACTTGTCAGAACAGAGACCAACCTGAGGGGTTAGAATGGGTCAATGTGAATCCCATGTCAAGGTGGAAGGAAGTAACCACTGCTCAGTCAGTCTCCAAGTGCTCAGTGACAGTGTTCTTGGTGGATTACAGTAGCAGGTACAGGCCAATTAGTCACCTCGTTATACCTCACAGGTCCACATCCAATCGCTTGTGTGGACTTTAATCGATCAATTTTGTGTAAAATTGGAGATACCCTTTCGATTCATAGAAAGGTTGCGACTGAATCCTCGAGTCTTCAAATGTCCACACACACATTTTCGTGTCTATTTTTCCCTTCGCCTATGACGCTGGGCTAACATGTCTCGGCATGGATCGACAGTTCGAGCAGAGTTGAAAGTTGACAAAATCCATTGGTACAAGACCTCATTTCTTAGCAAGTCATTAACTCGATTCTTCCTGATGTATCCGTTTTACTTATTGGCAAATGAAATCAATTATCCTTCAGCAGTGAAGTTACTTTAATTGAGACATCGATTCAGATATTTTTCACTAATACAGTAGAAAAATGCCTCTCTCAAGACCTTCTCATAACTCCCTTCTTCAAACTATAAATCAGGAACAAGGCATTGTACACCATTTAAATGGGAATGACAAAATTTTTGCTCACATTGCTGACAGATTGGCTATTCAGCGAATGCCATAAATGTTAACCATACGCATTGTTTCAAGAGTCTAGGTTCATGCCATCAAGCATCCGACTATTGTCTGTCACCTTTGATACATAGGAAATAATAATCTTTCCAAATCCGAAAGATGGAGGAGTTGAAATAGACTTTGGAAAAAATTTGACACTCAGCATAGTTTTCGAGGAGTTTCGTGGTCATAGTTGAGACTTGACAACGGTGTGATTTTCAACGTGCTGTAGGAGAGTCAGTAAAAATCGATGGAAAGATGGTTTAAAGCAGATGTGCTATTGATTATCGTGCTGTGAAGAAGACGATTTCGATCGATCAGTTTGTTTGCACCAAAGTAAAAATGCTGTTTTTAAAGCTGCTGAAGTTGATCAAGTGATTGAGACTTCAATGCTTTCTCAATCAATTAATTAATAAAAGCAGAGAAGGTGTGATTTAATATCTCTTAATTTTAGCAAATCGTAAAGCAACTACAAATGCATATTTTTATTGATAACACACAAATACCAATAAGCAGACATGTGGCCAGAACCAGCAACGCTAATGCATTATTGCGATAAGGATGCGATTTCACCATCTTATGAAGATAATTGGTTAGTCTCCTCAATTTCTCACGAATTTAAACCAGAATAATACTCCCATAATTATGAAGGGCACTATGCACCCCATAATGCTCTTCTCCACTACTATTAGTATTCCAACAATTTTTATACCCTATCTAACTCGCGTGGCCTAACCTTCATTCCATGTCCTAGGTGCTAATTCAGTTCTCTTCACAACGTGCACTTAATTGAAATCCCCTCTCCCTACGCCCATGATGAAGGTCATGAAAGTGGTGTGTATCAATAGGGGCCTAGCTACAAGTTCTCCAGTTCATATCTCACTCCCTTGACAGTTATCACGGACTGGATGAACCAATTGTCAAATGAAGCCGAAATGCAAGTTTCTCAACATGAAGTCTCCTTGACACAGGAAGGGAGCATTGGAAACTCTTTCCTCAAGAATCCAAGAAGTACGCTTCCTCCAAGAAATAAGCCCTTTGGTGCTTCCTTCTGCATAAATGGAATATCTGCTACCCATAAAAACTATGAAGATTGCACTCACTTCCTGGGAGGCGCATGAATAACAGTCGTAGTGTATCGAATGTTAGCAATTAGAAAAGTGATTGCGTATGTCTGATAAATTGATACAATATTGGAATTATGCCAAAATGGACACAGTTGCCAAAGTTATCACAAACAGAACACACTCCGAGTTCAATAGACTGGATGCAAAAGATTAAAAGGGGAAAAGTTTGTCAAGTAGAAAATAGACATTAGGGGAGAGAGGTGGAGAGAGAGTCTAAAAGAAGTTGGATATAAACCATTTCGTATTTTTGGACTTTAAGTAGTAGAATAGCTAATCCAAATTTCCAACAAAGCCAAATCATTCAGGCCTGATCCAATGTTTATTAGCCAATCGACCAATTATGGTCGTCAATTCAGAGAGTAATGTTCCCACAACGTGAATGATAATAAGTCACTCAGATATATTGTGGGGCATTGACGAATAATAATGAAACATTATATCAAGTGAATGCTTTCTTCTCTACCAATGCAAAACAACATTTTGATCTGAACCTCAAAATCCCAACAAAAATACTGAAAACGAAGAAGAATTGAAGTCGATTTAATTCAGTAAACCAAACAGTAAATGTGCATTTACCAATTCCCCTTTAGTAATTAAAAGAGAATTTTATCCCTTTAATGTTGGTAGCGATACCTAAGTCAAGATTACTACTAATTTCATAAAAGTAGAAAATTCGAGATATATCATTTCAATTTACACAATTATTATGCATATTTTGTTATTGAATTTACCGAACTTGATTTCCATTCCTCTCACCCTAGTAGAAATTCACAACCGGGTGATTACGCAAACATTGATTAATTAAGCACAATCCACGAGTCAACCGTAAATCTCTGGAGTAATATTCTTTCTAGTTCACAGGTTTCTGATTGGACGAAATAAGTCTACATTTGCGAATCCGAGAACTGCGATGCCTCCTAATTTGTAGCTAACTCGTTGAAGAAGATTACGGAAATGAAACCTCCAAAGTAAACGAGCTTATCATCATGGTGATTGGTTATGTCCAGATCCCTTCTATTTAATCCCGATCATCAAATCCACAAATCATCTCCAAATCTCAGGACGAAATAACCCTAACCCACGAAAATTCGAGGACTGTGATG